GGACTCGGACCGAAGCCAAATCTTAAGCTTCTGGAAGACTGGACGGTGGCCATTGGCATGACTTTCAACCTGAAAAAGTGCAAAGTAGTGAAATTACGCACCTGTAGACTGCAGAATGCAAGTTACACCCTGTGCAATGAGAGCTTGTTCTGCACAACGTCGGAGTGTGACTTAGGTTTAGTTCTAACGGAAAAAATGGACACGAGTAAATTACACGGGGGACGTAGCGAGGGCATACACTTAACTCATAGACTGTTAGGTGCACTCACTCCTGAGCTCACTCTAAGGTTGTACAAAATATACGTCAGACCACACCTTGAAGTGCATAATATTATTGCACCACCACTGCTTAGAACAGACGCCAACCTCTTAAAAGAGTCCAACGACGAGCAACAAAAGGAGTGGTTGGTCTCCGAAACAAATTGATATAAGTATAAAACTTGGGCACTGTGGTAGAGTGTAACTCCATTATGGATAAGATTTTATTTTCATAAATCACACAGTGTTACACAGTAATATTAACTGATGATGTTTCGAGCACACATTATTGCTCATAATCATATCAAATTACTCACCAAATTATATGATGAAAGGCTGAACGAATTGGGCCTATGCACACTTAGCTACCGTCGGCTTAGGGGTATTTAATTACTGCCTACAAAATAACAAATGGCCAGAATCACCGAAACAAAGGTGTTCTGCCATTGAGTAGGTATAGGCTCCCTCGTGGAAATCCCAGAAGGATAGCTCACCAGAGGGCAAGGACCCGGGTGCACTCCCACCTCTTTTCACTGCGGTTTTGCCGTCCCTGGAATTCCTCACCGGCAGGTGTAGCTATAGCACCGTCTGTGGACGCCTTTAAGCGGAGGCTGGACAATCACACAGCGACACAAGGACCGCATCCAAATGGCCTATCCCCTTAAAATCCCATACACTATTCAGGGGTGGACAACTAAGTTAGTCATTTTACTTCTTTACATTCTCTCCCGTCTTAATCTCTTGACAACTTTAACTACACCTATTATTATCATTATTACCGATATATATTTATATTGTTCATATTGTTCTCCTAATTTGACTAGCTGACTGTTATTACGTTTTCTTATTTCTTTTTCTCTCTGTTAGTCTGAATAACTTCACTAATTATGTATATTATTATTATCTCGTTTCTTTTGACGACAATACCGGTGGACTAACTGGTGAAAGGATCAACTCCATTCACAGTGGTAACAGTCTTAACACACCTCATACTACAAACCATATATAATTAATCCCAGCACTACTCCTTTTGGAGTCAACCGAAGCTACGCCAGTCGAGTGGCGGGACGAGCTACGCAGAAGATCAGGAAACTATACCTAACAATTAAGAGGCGAGCACAAAGAAATCAAATTAGTTTATACTAGCTCGTAAAAGCGATATTGGATATTGGATAGTGCGTGAACGTTTTTACGACACTGGTAGCTATTACTAATGTTCTTTAGAGTTCCTCTCCATAACTTCAGTTACATGTCCGAAGATCCATCTAAATACTGCAAAGACTTAAAACAGATATTCAAAGTTCCAAGTTGAAATGAGTTCAATGATTTTACAATGGTTATATTAAACTAGCCAGATACAAAGCCTTGAAAATTTGTGGGTACTTTAATTTGGACGGTACTTGCAGTATATTTTGGTACTTCTTTTTGTTGTTCCGTGGCATACATTTTGGCATCCCAGATTCAAGAAGCAATTTTAGTAGAATTACAGACATTTTAAACGAGGATTATGACTAGCAAACATGTGTTATTCTAGGTTATCTGACTGGTCGAATCAATGTCATTTGACTTTGGTGTCTATTGTTTACTCTTACGGAATGATAAATTTAGGTTGTTGAAAGTGAAATGTACTAGACTATATAATGGCTGTTTTGTGAGAATGAAAAGCAGTCATGTGTGGCAAAGTAGGTCCTTAATAGTCACGTGTACGTAGACTTTAGCAAGTCAGAAATACTTTTAATTAATTAAATCACACAGTATTAAAGTCAGAGACACTTCCTTTATTTCCGTTTCTAATCCTCTTCACATTTATTTCGGTTGACCACCACTTCACTCATCTTTCTTCCTGGTGCCTTTTATAATAACCTCACCTTAGGCAACAATTATAGTCATATCCCATGGATCTTTATGGTAATGGTCTCTTTTGATTGTTAGTTAGGTTCTGACCAAGGAGGCTTGTTTCGGTTTAATGAATTTGAGAGCAAAACGTATTTTAGACCAGACACATATTTTAGACTATTGTATATTTTTACTATTTCTGAAGAATTTACGTAAGTTGCCCCGGAGTTGCAAGGTAACGCCTATTCAGTAAGCGGTGGAATTTTCGTGTTAGCAAGTTTGAAAAAGCCAAATGAAAGCCAGTGAGAAAATCAGCCAATGATATATGGATAATTTTCATTCACTACTTAAAGATGTCGTAATGTGGGACTGACATCCCCGACATATAGGTCCTTAAATTATCGAAAAATCGTGGGGCTTGCTGAATTCCTTACGAGGAATACTTGAAGACATGTTCAAACTTCGTCATTTAGAATTAGCAAGTGATATAAAAGTTCCACTTAGGCTGTTGCAAAAGTTTCATTTCTAGGTTCTGACTACTAAGATCGATAATCACCGAAAATACCCATTGAGTAATGAATAAAATAAAAGACAAATTCAGCGAAGAAAATTTTCTTTATCGACGAAATCATCTTCAGAGGCTGTACAGTCGTATTTATACTTACAAAAAATACATAGTGGTCTATTATTGAGTAATAGGGGTTGACATAATTGATATAATTACTCAGAATTGGCTTTAGAAGTGAAAATTAAAAGTCGTAAATTACGTGGTACTCAACGGCACAAAGATAAAGATTTGATAAGGTTAAAATTGCTATTGAATGAGAATAAAGGTATTTGAGTGTCAATTTAACAAGTGTGAAGAGGGTGTGAAATGTACAAAAGGAGCATATAAGAGTGATAATAGTAGATTAATTATGAAATTTTACTTTCATAATTTTCGATAAACTAAAAGTAAAACTAAAAAATGAAAAAAGTTAAAAATTAAGAAAAGAAAAATATCAAAATTTTTTTACAGGGAACGACCAATGAAGAGGTTAAGACCAAGGTAGAATAAGAGACTGGACAAACTTTTTATGTATACAGAGTTCTGGGTTGTATTGACGAATTGCCAGCGCTTCCGCCATACACAAAAGCCGAAACCTGACGCCCATTGTACCATTTGGCTTCACCTTGTAGATGATCTTAAAAGACAACTGTGGTGGAGCTACGTGGCCTGGGTTCACCAAATGCTCGAGAATTGAGCTGGTAATTGTCTTGCATTGTCTCTTTGCTAGGCATGCCGGATAATGTTCAGAGATGCGTTTGGAAAGTGTACGCCTTGTACGGCCAATATAACTAGCTCCACACGAGCAGGTGAAATTATAAACACACATTGAGGTGTCTCAGAGTGGCAGCTTATCGTTCACACATCCATTGATTTTTTGTCGGCTGTAGAAATTGGCACGTAACTCTGCCAAAAAAAGGCTTTCCTCAGTGATCTGCGTTAGCGATTCTTCAGGATCTCAGCCGTGGTATCACCTTTAAATGGAGCACTCATAAATAGCAGTTTCTTCAGCACCGTCTGGGTTCTTCCAGGCTTTTCCCTTTACTTCATGTTTTTCTCAATAAATCTTGGAGGATATCCATTCTCTATGAGGACTTGTCTGAGTTGCCCCAGTTCCCCATCGATTGTATCAATGGAACATATCCTCCTTATCCTTGAGGATAAGGAGTGGATCAGATTTCTCTTTCTTCTCAAAGGAAACCAACTATGGAAATTTTTGTACTGACCATCCCATGTTGGTTTTCTCTAGATCTTTGAAGAGGACCATCAGATCTCCTTTTTAGAAAAACATCCAAATAATGGAATTCCGAGTTCATTTCTGATTCTGACTTGAACTGGATGGCATAATGGCAGCTGTTGAACTCTTTAGTTATCAATTCGATGTCGGTATTTTCGTCACATATGATGAAAGTACCATGCATGTATCTTTGGTACAAATGGAAAATGTCGATAGTAGGCCGTAAAATATTATTCTCCAAACTTGCCAAAAAGCAGTCTGCAAGTAAAGGACCCAACGGTGACCCCATTGCCACTCCATCTCTTTGTCTATAAATCGTGTTGTTGAACTTGAATTGGACATTTAAAGTGCACCTCAGTAGTAATTCCTTTAAGTAGTGGATCGGAACACACACATCTACATTATTATCCTCAATGAATTTGCATATAAAGCAAATAGTTTCAGTGATGGGAACGTTGGTGAAAAGGGAAGTAACATCCATGGATATCATTTTCTTCCCGGATACATTATCATCACTTATTGAATCGACGAATTCAAACGAATCAGAAACACTACGCCTGCAGAGATTATTTCTGGTAGGTAGGAGGATATCTGCGAGCCATTTAGCAGTAGCATGATATGGGGAATTTTTCATATCCAGGACTGGACGTAGTAATTATATCAATTATGTCAACCCCTATTACTCAATAATAGACCACTATATATTTTTTGTAAGTATAAATACGACTGTACAGCCTCTGGAGATGATTTCGTCGATAAAGAAAATTTTCTTCGCTGAATTTGTCTTTTATTTTCTTCATAAGATCGATAACTTAAGGAATCTTATTTGTTTTTAAAAAGTGTATTTGAATGTTCCTCCCAGTTTTCTTTTAAGACTGGCTAAAACTTCAGTGGAAATCTTTTTGATAACTTCAACGTATGATCTGACGTAATCTGAAGTGATATTATTGTAACATATCATCTTGGAATAATTTCAAGTGTAGTATTTTACTTCCGGTGTAAACTCAGTGACTTGTTTGGTCTCTGAGTTTCGCCTACTTCTATCGACAGATACCATTTGAAGGTTACTTTCCGAAGGCTTTTCACAACGTATGGTCCAGAGCCAAAAAATTGTGCAATATCATGTACGAAATAATCAATTCTATTGGATATAGTCTCCTGTTCATATTTGGTCTTTATATTGCTGGAGGAAAGTTCCCAAGGTAAGTTTTCTCATTTTAACGTGTCATTTTTAGAGATCATCCAGAGACAATCAAGAGAAGAGTTATATCCGTCTTTGTGACTGGCACTATTTCCATGATTCATGTGTTGACTTTCATCCATCTCCCTGAGCGTCCTGTGGTAAGCAGATGTTGAAATATAACTTCTGTTAGTTTCAGCTATCCTCTTATGAGTTCGGAAAAGTCTTTCTTAGATTAGATGGACTTCTGGAAGCTATCGTCATTTCTGTTACTCTTACTCTGGTTTGTTTTGTCTATTTCTAATATTCTCACTCATCAGGTTTTGTATTTCGGAGTTATCTTAGATGACATATGCTGTGGATATATATCAGCCCTTTTCGGTAATCACTTTTTTTACGTATCCTGTCTTATGTAAATTAGACTTCCGTTATACTTATAAACTGAGGAAATAAACATAAGAGTTTAAACTGTTTTATATATGTCCATGTGTTTAAAGATGTAGTTGTGCAGTTTAAGGTGACATTCAAGTGTAATGTAACTACATGTTATGTTTTTCACTTAATTAGCAAATATATAAGAATGAAATTACTTCAGTTTATGATGACTGGTCCCATTAATTCTAATCTATATGTGTTGTGAATAAGCCTTAGTATCGATGAGACTCTAACGAACTTAGTCGCAAAGGACACATTTGAAGTTAAACCAAACGGTATTTGTCGTTCTTGCTTTCTTCATATAAATTAATGTAGTTTCATATTCTACTACATTTCCGATGTTTTGAAGATACTGAAATTGAGACTACCTGATGTGACTCAGAACTGGTCATAGTAGTTTAGATACAATAAGGTGATGTGTGCATCCTAAACTTTGACTATTTTGATGGTCAGATTCGATACCCAGCTGACGCACTCCTAAACATTGCGTAGTTTGCTACTTAACAGTAAACCCGGAAAAAAGGGGAAATCGGCAATAGGGCTAGCAACTCCTTCTCACTAAATAGAAGCAACACGGTTACTAAAACTTCAAGGCTCATAGCCTTATGCTGCATACAGATCGCAAAGGAATGAAGAAGGAGTGTAAGTTGTTCAGTAACCTAGTCTTTTAGACCCCACTCGCGAGAAGTTGTGATACATCTAGGGATCCTATATCAAGACAACATTTCTTCATTTAACAGCGCTTATTTGGGAAGTTGCGTCAGTTCCAGTGGGTTGGTCACTGACGAAATCTCAGCACAGATACAGAAGGCTCATTTGGCACATGCCAACTTACGCTATCTCTGGCTTAGTAGACGTGATATCCGGTTGGCTGTCGATCACAGGACGTGTGTACTGATCAGCGGCAGTTCGCTCTGTCCTCCTGTGTGACTAAGTGAGAAATGGACATTGAGAGTTGAAGACATGATCACAGGTGTCTCCGTTCTATCTCGTGTGTTAGGTGGATTAAGATTGAGGTTAGGCTTCGGTCAAGTGCTAGGTAAGGAGGGAGAATATATAGATGACGTTGTGAAACTACATCGATTAAGATGGTTAGGACATTTGTTACACACGCCTGCCTAGCCATCGCCTTTTCCATTACGACGGGCGATGTTAGCTGACATCGAATGGATCAGGTTGGGAGGGAGCTAGTGGTGGTCAAACCAAAACATGGCTTCATCAATGAATGAAATCCATGGCGGTTATTTTGAGCCGGTCATGTAGGGGGTGTCTCCTTCTTGGCTGGTTGGGGTTCTTGGGATGGTAAGAACCAATGAAGGCTGGAGACATTTGTTGATATGATTTGAAATCTCTCTCAGTGACGCAGATGCATACACTTTTTGTAATTTGTCATATCCAGTAAGACTCTATTGTTCTTCCATAATATTATTCTTTTTTCCCTCGCACTCGTGTTTATTACCTCTCTTTTGAGTCTCTGTTTATTCTCTTCTCTTCCTTTTTGTGCTACAAGGAGGTAGTGCGGCAACTCGAACTGCTGCACTTCTGCTGCCGTCAGTCATTCAGTATTTATTCTTTTCCCTCTCCTAATCACTTCCAAAACTACCTGTTTTGTTAAACATCTATTATCGGAAACAGATTTCGCATTCACCAGACAACGAACATATTGTATGATAGCTGATTGCACTACCCAGTTATTGGAGCTGAAGCAGATGGAGTTGGACTCGGAGCCCTTGGCCAATCGCCTGAACATCGGATGAGTTTGTAAGCCTGTGGTGAGAGCTGTCTGCAAGCCAAAATTGTAAGCAACAATTTATGTCAATGCTTACGTCCCAAATCTTGGTCAGGAGAAAAAATAAGAATAAAGCCTAACCTTCAGAAACTCAACAACCAATCACAGCAGACTTAGCGTGGGCGGATACTACTAGCAGATATACCAACGGACTGTCTAAGAAACGGCAACAAAGAGATGACAGAATAGCCTTCAGCAGGAAAAAAACCAATCAGAAGGCGTTATTTCTCTGCTAACAATAACGAATAATAATGCACATAAAAATCTATAAATATCTGTTGATTTTCTCAATAAACGATCTATTGCCTGGCCCTTGTTTTCTGTCGTTACAAGCCCATGAGCCACATCTCCACTTTTAGTCCTAATAAACAGCCTGGAGGTTTGTACACACAATCCGAAATATAGAAGCTTGTGTTTGAAGGCTTTATCGATAAGGGAAACATAAATCCCACTGATCTTAGAGCAAAGCTGCCTTCTTTTCATGAGAATCTTTCTTGTATGGAAAAATATTTTTGATGTGAATTTTCCTTTAATAAATGAAATATATACCCGTTCTTTCAATTTCCGTTTACTCTATCTAGATGCTGAATATTGGAAAAGTCGAGTACTGAATTGGATGGGTTTACGAAATTTCATCATAGCTCCAATGTTTGAAGAATTTGTCTTCCGTGCTTGTATTACATTTCATTTACGGCCTCTATTCTCTTCGTGTATTATGCTTTGCTTTGTTAGTACACTATTTTTCTCTCTAGGTAAGTATACATCTTACATACAGTTGGTTCCATTTATAAATTTTTGCAAAGCAAGAACAATAAACATTCAATATCGGAAACAAACATCCCCATTTAGACATTTAGAAGTCAAAAGAATTGAGCGGGAACTCCATCCTCACTCACGACTGGATGGAAGACTGATCATGACTTCTCAATAGAACTCCAGGGAACTCTGTCCTGTGGCAAGTCACCAGCGAGCATCAGATTAATTTTAAAGGGTTGATTTGTAAGGACGAAACAGCTGTCCAGTACTTCCTCAGGGGTTTTCAATGGTTCTCTGACCTGTTATCAATCCGTGGTCAAGCCTGAAACAAACAGAATCTGTACAAACTAATTCTTGAAAATAAATGTGATGCTCGCTAGTGACTGGCGACAAGACAGAGTTTCATGGAGTTCTAGTGGGAAGTAGTGACCAGTGAGACTCATCCAGTCGGAAGTGAGGATGGAGTTCCCACCGATGACATTGGTTGGTGGTCGCATTAAAATCACGAATTGGTAGGAGTTAGAATTCATGGGCTGGTTAGTGAGTCGGGTCCCAGTGACTGAATGGTCTACGAGATTGCCTTGTAGCCGGAAGTTCCTGGGTTCACACTCCGTTGGCACCCACCAATGGGGCGTACTGCCGATGATTTCCGAACTAGGATAAGACAGCTATCCAGTAAGCCTTGGTTTTCAATGATTCTCTAACTGATATCAATCCGTGGTCAAACTCGAGAAACAAATCAACTCTTGAGCGAAGAAATATTTGCTTTTCACTTAGATCTTCATATATGACTCTACACTAATCCATATATAGCATTGTTAGTACAATACAGAAAATTTTTACCAATATGGTGGCAACATGTTTGTTTACTATAATTTGTCAGTATCAGCATGTTAAGGGGATGATAATTAACGAAGAAAATTAATACGAATAATTATAGAGTAGAAATGGTTACAGCAAATAGATTACATAATGCATAATTTTGGACTAAATGAAGAGTAATTAAAGAAAAAGCAAGTTTTAGATATGATAGAGAAGATATGTAGCTCAGGTGAATGACTTTGATATGGTTGTGTTCTCTGAGCTGGATAGTTAATTTGCGAAGCTTTCATCACCCTACTAGGTGACATCTTCAGCGCATACTTCAATTTGAAGTGAGCTTTTAGATTTCTCCACGAGTTCATTAATCATCTCTTCTGGCGACCTTGGACGTGATTGGTTGTTTTTGTGTGTTTTCACACCTTCTAGGTTACTTGTATTGTCACAATATTGTGACAACACAACCACATCAAAGAAAAAGCAAGTGTTTAAGGCGATTACGTAATATAAAAGAAAAGAAGGCGTTCAGCTAAGAGACTCTTTTCGGCAAATTCATTCACTAAGCTGTACAATCGCATTTATATACGATTTTGTGTGTGTGTGTGTGTACATTAGATTTATAAAGTTCAGATAATTACGTAATATAAGTATTATTTGGCTTGGAAACAAACGTTAATTAGATAGAAAATAAAACAAAATTGATTAAGTGAATTGGATGACGTAATACAATTGAGTAGAATTCAGAGTAGGTCAGGTTGGCAACAGTGTTAATGAGTGGTGGTTAATAGGTAGTCAAAGAAACATAAAATAATTTAAACCAATATGATTTTTAATAAGGCTTAGAGGGAGGATGAATTAGTCAGGTTTATGCATTCATGTAACCGATGGCCAAGGTAAGGAAAATGTCACGAATGTACGAATTTCTTCTGAACACATAGGTTTGACTTGTTCTTCAGGTGGATTCCCATGACTTCATCTATGTATAAAAGAAGTTAAGATTAGTTGGAATGCAATAAATAACTTTAAATGCTGTATTAGCATCAAATTTATGCTCATTGTCTACAAGGTATGTTAAAACAGAGCTACGAATAGATCTTGTTCGTCCCTTACCACTGATGTTCGGAAACACGATGATGAACCTGCTTAATTTAATTAATTCCTCAAGAGCAGCCAAACTGGCAAATACAGATAGAGTAGGCGAAATGAGGTAGTTTATGCTTATTTCTCGAAAGTAAAATAGGAGTGGCAGTGTGAAGAGACAAAGTACATCTGGTGCTTTGAATGCTCCTATTTTTTAACTGCATTCTTCATATCTCAACTAGATTGGTAAAAGAAATTCTTGTATTGTATTAAAAATGCAATAAAAGTTCTCAAGAGTTGATTTGTAAGGATTAGATTTGTTTTTCAGGCTTGACCACGGATTGATATCAGATAGAGAATCATTGAAAACCAAGGCTTACTGGATAGCTGTCTTATCCTAGTTTGGGAATCATCAGCAGTACGCCCTATTGGTGGGTGCCAACGAGGTGTGAACCCAGGAACTTCCGGCTACAAGGCAAGCTCGTATGCCATTCAGCCACTGGGACTCGACTCACTAGCCAGCCCATGAATTCTAACTTCTACCAATTCGTGATTTTAGTGCGACCACCAACCAGTGTCATCGGTGGGAACTCCATCCTCACTTCCGACTGAAAGAGCGTCACTGGTCACTACTTCCCAGGAAACTCTGTCTTGTTGCCAGTCACTAGCGAGCATCAGAATAATTATGACTGTGAACAGCGGTACTTTGTGATCGAGACATCATCCAGTTATCAATTCTTTGTCATTACAGTGTGTCTTCCACCAAATAAATTTATATAGTATTCTACCACAGTGCCACGAATTCCGCCCTCATAGTTAACAAACAGCGTGTAAGTTGCTCACACGCTTATGCACCTGTAAACAAGTTATACATCATCCAACGGACAGGTTTCAGTTTACTCTACCATCAGAGCTGATCAGTGCCTTCGCCCACTGATAATTAGATGTGTCTACCAAAAGAAAAATTGTGTGTACGAATACAATGTGAATGGGCTCACTGAAGAAAGACTATTTAGCCTTCCTATTTTGAAGGACTGATTTGATCGCTGACCAAATCTCAGTATGGATACAGAGGGCTAGTTTCGCATATGCCAGTTTACGCCGTCTCTGGCGTAGACGTGATATCCGGCTATAGACTAAAGGATGGGTGTACTGCTCACCATTTCGCTCCGTCCTCCTTCATGGCTGTGAGACCTGGCCATTGAGAGTGGAAGACATGAAAAGATTAGCTATCTTTGATGATAGGTGTCTGCGTTCTATCTCCAGTGTGAAGTGGTATAATAGGGTGAGCAATATTGAGGTTAGGCGTCGAGTGCTAGGTAAGGAGGGGAAATCAATCGACGAGGCTGTGAAGTTACATTGACTGAGATGGTTAGGACATGTGTTACGTATGCCTAGTCATCACCTTCCTCGACGGGCAATGGCAGCTGACATAGGGTCAGACTGGAAAATAGCTAGCAGTGATCAAACCAAAACGTGGCCTCATCAGTCAATGAAATCTACAACAGTTAGTCTAAGCCACCGAGGAAGGTATAGACTTCCTGGTTGGGGTCCTCGGAACGGTAAAAACCAATGGTTGGAAACAATTGGTGACATGGCTCAAAATCGTTCTATATGGCTGGTTCAGATGCATTCACTCCTTGTGACTTATGATTTCCAATTAAACTGTTTTGTTCTTCGTTATTACTATTCCTTTGTCTCACACCTCTGTTTACTGTCTCTATTATGCATTTCTCTTACTTTCTTCTCTTGCTTTGTGTGCTACATGGAGTGTGGCGACTTGAACTGCTGCACATCGGTGCAAAGTTCTATGTCGAAAATAGACAGACAGATTTGAACGACTCACTAATTGATTATCCTTCATGCGTATTCATAAAACGAGGTAGTCAGTCATCACTGAAGCTAAACTGTTCAACTGGGTTACAGAATGGATTCAAACCTTTGAATTACTAATATGGGGGTATATTCCACAAAACATTGCCTAAACTTTACTCTCATCACATGATAACAAGTCTAACTTTTCCTATATCTGTCAATTTCTACTGACTGGTTTTTTACAGGATTGATCACGAGTCGACATCAGTTAGAGAACCACTGGACAGATGTTTCGTAGGTACTTTCTCGGGTTCGAGACCAGGACCTTTCGGTTACAAGGCAAGCTCGTAGACCATTCAGCTGAATATATATATATATATATATCAAGAGTCGGCAGAAGCTATTGGGTCGGGTCTCAATTGTTGTGAATGCTGTACGAGCTCGCTTCGTAACCGGGAGGTTCGTGTTTCGAACCCCTGTGGTAGCTGCGTGCTGATAAAGAATTCCAAACCAGGACGAAACAGCTGTCCAGTACTCTCTGCAGGTTTTCCAATGGTTCTCCAATTGATGTCAGTTCGTGATCGATCAATCCTGTAACCAATCAAATCTCTGCAAACCAACACTTGATGATTGATTTTTGTTTATTTTTTGTTGTCGTTTTTTTTAAAATTTTCCTTTTTTTTTTAGCGCATCTTCATCACATCTCTGAATCAATTCGAAATGGTCAAGATTTTCAATCTGCATTTAAAAGTTCACGTAAGTTCTTATCGACTTTTATTTCGATAAAGAAAGGAAGACGAAATTTGCAGTATAAAATGATATCATTCTATTTCACAGGTTCTCATCAGCTGCAGACTACCTGAAATTACAATGGTTATATAAATGATAATAACATACTTTAATGTTTGATTAGTAGTAGAGAAGAGATAAAATTGACGCATCCAAAAAAGAATGAAAGATTGATAACTTAAACTAAAAATTGTAATGCTTTCATTCTTTTTTGGATGCGTCAATTTTATCTCTTCTCTACTACTAATCAAACATTAAAGTATGTTATTATCATTTATATAACCATTGTAATTTCAGGTAGTCTGCAGCTGATGAGAACCTGTGAAATAGAATGATATCATTTTATACTGCAAATTTCGTCTTCCTTTCTTTATCGAAATTTATCAAGGGAACCAGTTGTACGACTTTTATTTATTGAATATGTTGTGTTCCTGTGTATTTCAGTTATTCAGTTTATCAACAACAAAAAAAAGTGACACAGTTACCCTTTTCTCTTTACTATAGATCAACATTTAATAAGAATTTATACTGATTAGGCTATTTGAGATAATCTTGATTTTCTATTTGGTAGACAGGTGGTGGTCTTATTTTACAGACCAACTACTCAACTGATACATAAACTTACGTCGTTTGAAACTAGGCCGGACCTGAGGCTGATATGTATATGTAGCAGTTCATTGAGTCCTACGGCTGACACAAGTCTAACTGTTTTTCCACCACACGTGACTGTATTCCAGTTATTGTGTTATTTGATGTAATATAGTCATTAATAATAAGGTTACGCATAGGAGTGCTTTCGATAAGGAGTGGAAATTTAATTGATGAAGTTGTGAGGTTACTGCAGTTGACATAACTAATATATATATATATATAACATATATATATAACTTGTGCCATGTCATCGCCTTACTCAATGATCAGTTTTGGTTGATATAGAATTCGGCGACAAGAGAGTTATTATTATTATTATTTTTCCCTTGGGTTCCTAGTGGAACATAGGGCTTCAACTGCACGCCTCCACTTGCTTCTGTCTTCTGCTGTACTTTTCACCTGCATTCATGTTAGTCCATACTGTTTCAGCTCCTCTTCACACGACCTCCTCCATGTCACCCTTGGACGTCCCACTCGCCGCTTCCCTTTCGGGTTCCACTCGAGCACTGGCCTGACACGTGATGTCACCCAGCGGCCTCCTCAGCGAGTGTCCAATCCATCTCCACTTTCTCCTGCATATTGGCTAAACCAATCCCTAAAGTCTTTGACTGTTTATTTGAGCTATTTATTTGGCTCAGAATCATCCACACTGACACATAAAATATTCGCTTGTTTTCGTCTTTCGAATTCATGAAATCCTCATTTATTTTTTCCCTTGATATTTCCCTTACACTGTATTTCCATTGAACGTCTTTCCCTTTTCTCTATGTATGCCTTAGTCTTAGTGAAGTATGTCAACTTGAACTGCAAGCTACACATTTTTTGCTTAGTTTTACTTGGAAAATTCAGTTCATTTGTTTTCATCAGGTAAATGTAACATTGTCATAGAGACAGAGAACTCTCCTGTCTTGTGTTTTAAAGGCGAATACATACGTCACCTAAACATTTTCGAGTTTTTGATGGGTTAGCTTAACTTTAACGTAGACTTTTAGACAAAGCAATAAGAAGGCGTAATTTGTCTGAATCGTGTAATGTGCATATTTGCGTACAACACATTTCGAACAATCTGACCACACATGAACTTGTCATAGGAATATATAAATGAAATTAATAAAGAGTTAAGAGGTGAGAAAATAGACCACTTAGGTCAAGTTAAAAGGACATATTGAAGGTCAAAGTAACACTGAAGATCACTAAACCAAATAACAGAGGTAACAGTACAAAGTTTACCAAGGAAGTTGGTTTAGTGTGATGACGAATTGTTGCTTCGTCCGCATAAAGGTGGTTTAAACTTACTAATTGCTAGCTAGGGCTTCCACAAACTTTAGGATACGCCCCAAACACGTTTTATAGATAGGTTTGAAAGATGTGTTAACGTCAATTTCATGTCCTGTCTCTAGAATATGTTTCGCAATAGAGGAGCTAGGTCTCTTGTTCTCACCATTAATGGGTTCTGAAGATTCGATTTGCTTCTGAAATAGCCATTTAGGAATATGCTGTGAAGCCAGCCCTTACTTGCAGAGATCGATGAGTCCTCCCTATGTATGTGTGTGTGTGTCCACACGTACATTCAAATTGGTAAATACAGTGGGATATGACATCATTTTTCTCATGTTCAAAGGGCTTTGATGGATGGATATATTGGCTTCACATTCTCAATTATTATTATATTACATTTGTAAAAAATTATATTTGTAATATCTCAGCGATATTGAAATGAGTAATTCCAACGTTTCGTTCGGCAATCTAGTCCGAACTTCTTCAGGGAAATTAATCAAAATTAACATAACAGAAGTTTATAAATAAAAGGCACATCTTTTGTTTTTAAAAACTTTGTCCAATCATGATTCATAAACACAAGTATTAACAAGTATAATAAACAAAATTGTATGAGCTGTGATCAAAATTTGACCTCGGACTTACAAATATTGGTCTACCTTTGTTTTTACAAATGTCTACTTCTCACTCGGCGCCCAAATATTTTAGAACTATTCGGTCAAATCTTGACGACAGTTCATTTGTATTATTATATTAGCTGCGTAAAAAGTCATTTTAACCACAACATCGTGCAATCTTTGTTTAGTTATCAAGCTGTTATGATGCCCTATATAGGGTAGCTTGATGTACACGTCTTTCTTGGTGGCGAGTTGTAGAGTGGGTCTTGATGTTCTGACCACTTTATATCTCCTGGTGAACTTGTCTGGATAATTGTTATCAACCAGAGCTCGCGTCAATTTTCTTTCTTCTTCACCAAGTATGTCTTGAGTGCATATTCATTGGGACATGGCTAGTGAAGCCACAAAACGGATTTATACTGCTGCCACCCTTTGTTTATCATTTTCCAGCCAACCAACTATGAGTGCTCAATAGGAAGATAAGCTGCCTAGCTGTGCCACTTCTATGTGCATTTATAAATTTAGCCGTTCCTATGGTGAAAGCTATGTGTAGGGCGAAGGAGCAGACAGCTCAACAAACGTGCTTCTGAGCATTCTCCTTCATGGTTCGGAAAAGGCCAAATAAAATCTATAAGAAGTTCTATTTTAACTCATTTTATATTGATAGCGGTCACCAAATGGACAGAAGAAGTGTCTTCAAGCTTGTCTATTCCATTTGACCTAACCTTTCAAAAGGAATTCAAACCCACCTGTTAAACACATAGCCGAAACTAAGGGAATTACTTCGAGAAAACAATCATAGTCTTTGCATACAGCAAAAGAAGTTTGTTCTACCTTTATCATTCCCTTGGCCTAAGTAAATTCTAACTATCACAAACCTTCCACCCTTTCTTATTTTCCATTTCCTTCGTACTTTTATAATATTTATTATTCAAACTCAGATCATCTATCTGTCCACTTCACCCTTTTAAGATTTGACCTAATTTATTCACTGAATTTTCTAAATAAACATACTACTTTCGTTATATGTCTCTCCACCTCTATAAACTCCTTGTACTTTTGTTAATATTAACTTTATTACCATTATTTTTGCTATCATTGTAATTATCATATTTAGTGAAGTTCAAAAGATTTAACGCATTACTATTGTTACTGTTATTATTATTATTATCATTGTTTGATCCACAAACTCTCCATCATTAGTCAAATTTTTTTATTGATTGGTTGGAGGATTTCATCATGTGCTGACATTAGTTAGAGAATCACTGAAAAACTTGGGAGTATACTGGACAGCTGTCTCTTCCTATGTTGGGACTCTTCAACAGTAGGCACCCACCGGCAGGGTTCGAAATCGGTACCTTCTGGTTACAAGATGAGCTCTTAGACAATTAAGCCACTGGGACTCGACCCAGTGGCCCGTGAATTCTAACTTCTGCCAACTCATGACATCGCACGATCACTTCGCAATGTCTTCTTCGATGAGTTACCGCCTCACTGAATCGGGTCCGAGTGGCTTAATGGTCTACGAGCTCACCATTTAACCAGAAGGTCCTGGGTTCGAACCCGGGTGGGCGTTTGCTGATGAAGAGTCCCAAACTAGGACGAAACAGCTGTCCAGTACTCCCTGGCTTTCAATGATTCTCTAACTGATATCAATCCTTGGTCAAAATTGAAAAACAGATCAAATCCCTACAAACCAATTCTTGAAAACAATATTGTTCGCTTATATGTCTATTTCGAATCTCAACAATCGGAATATTTACGGACTGGAATTCTGTTACACAGAGTACACTTTCCATCCACATATGAGCTGCACTTAGTTGTACCAAGGTTGATGGTATTACTCATTTGCTCGGGCTGTACCAAATCAAGAGGGATTCGAACCCTTTTGGGTTTTCCACTTCCCATTTCTGAGTGGAATAACGTTAGCTCGTTGAAATATTCTAAATATATAATTTCATACATTTGGTTCCCTTGATAAATTTTGATAGAGAAAGAAAGACCTAATTTACAGTATAAAATGATAGATATCATTCTATTTCACAAGCTCTCATCAGCTGCTGCAAACTACCTGAAATTACAATGGTTATATATAATGACATTTCATACTTCAATGTTTGAAAGGTAATATAGAGAAAACATTGTAAGATGAACGCTTCCGGAATATAAGCATTATACTGTTTTGGTTTAGGTTACCATCAGTTTATATGCTCTCAAACTATGAAAAAGAAGTGGGATTAGTCATACATATTAGGGGGCTCAGCTCACTGAGTGAGTAAGTTTTCAATTGGATGAACTTTAGCCTTCTTGAGTTGCTATGTAGACATACAAACGAACACTGTGTATTAGATTTTTCTGTCTTCTCTCAGCCCCCCTCCTTTTTTCTTAGTTTGAAAACATAGAAAGTGATAGTAACTTAAACGAGAAAATTGTAATGCTTATATTCCGGATGCCTTCATCGTGTAATTTTTTCTATTACCTTTCAAAGACTGAAGTATGAAATGTCATTATTTGTAACCATTGTAATTTCAGGTAGTTTGCAGCAGCTGGTGAGAACCTGTGCAGTAGAATGATATCTATCACTTTATACTGTAAATCTGGTCTTTCTTTCTCTATAGAAATATTTAATTATTATATTTGTTCTTTGTATTTGCATGTTTGTTATGTGGCAACTTGTGTAACTTGTTGGATAACATTTCTGTTGTGTCTACTTCTCTCTTCTGCTACCTTGCATCGATCTAAATCTACTCGATGAAACTGTTTCGCACTATATTGCAGTATATTGAAAGCAAGCACTTTTCTTCTACGTATTTTCCTAATGTACACACTTAAAATCAATATAAACAAAGTTATTTATTTTACACTATGTGTATTAAGTTGTGTCTAGTTTGCGAGAAATTTATTAGTCTCTTTCTTTAAGTAATATGATGGATGGTGACTAGCTGTGGAATCGTCCTGTTCGGGACTCGTCTTCCGGATGTACTTGCATTTTCCAGTGAGTGATGGACGACAATCTCACTGGGACTCGAACCCAGTACCCATCGTTTTGAACACCGAAGCGTTATGCACTAGACCACGTGACCCACGAGAGCCACCCTTTGAGCGACGGGTATCAATTATTATTAAATTCAGTTTGGGCTTTCCCGTTGAATTAAATGGTAAGTGGTACCCGTTGCAGAAGAGGTGGCTCTCGTGGCCTAAGTGGTTTAGTGGGTTAACATTCTGGTGTTTGAAACTATGGGTACTGGGTTCGAGCCCCAGTGGGAATACTGTCACTCGCCGGGGTATGCAGTCACATCTAGATGACGAGTCCCAAATAAGTCACATCCTGGATTTCAACTGCTAGTCACCATCCATCAAATTTTTTTCCCTCACGTTCTCAGTGGAACATAGGGCTCCAAGCTAGAGGCTTGAAGTTTCTGTAGCATTGTTAATTTTTACAGGATGGCGTTGCTAGCCTCATGCCCAACCTTTCTGCTTTACCAGTCTCCCTACTGGCTTAGCGAGGTAAAGGAGTGCGTCGGCCGGGGATCGAACCCCGGACCATGTGCATGGTTGGCGAGCGTCCTAACCGCTGTGCCACCAACGCACATCAAATTATTTCAGGTTTAATCCTCAGATATCCTCAAAAGAAGCCGATATGTCAACTGAGGCCAAGCATTTAGGTCCAGTCAATTGGGCGGGGGGGGGGGGCGAAGTCCGAATTGAATTTAGTGATGATCTCTTTCTTTGTTGCAAATCGAGAGAATTATTCCAAAAATATCAAGAGAGATACGGAACACCTGTTTCGTCCTCATTTTTATAAGCACCATCAGTTTCTCTATAGTTAACATCTCATTCTAAATCGGTTTGCAATGAAGACTGTTTTGATGTTGATGAATTCTCTACAGATTTATTAAGTGTATCGGTTGTTAGATAGTTGGAAACGATCAGTAGAAAGCCTTTGACTTAGATTTCGTGCTTGTTAACACTCTTCATTCTTGAAAAGAACTCATGCTGCTTCTGAGATTCGAATCCGTGTCATCCATCGTGCTGCAGTCAGACATTTTACCACTGTGCAATTGACCTTCTGTAGGATTGTAATGGATACTTTGTTGATTGGATAACAATCCAGAGTACACAGTGATGGTGAGTCACCTAGCATGATGTGGCCACATTAGAAACTTGACTGATGGAATTCATTCTACACCAACACCAATGACTAAGTTACCACCTAGTGTCCAGTCGAAGTGTATCAGTATTCACTGTTCAGATTAGTAAAAAATCTATGTCCAAATCCCTGCAAATGCAAAATCTAAATACTCATCTCCCGCTCATTAGTGTTTACAAGATTAATGTCACCAAGTTTTAATGAGAAGTAGTTGACCAGTAGTGGGATCCACCATGTCTCAATGTGGAGTAGATGCTCATCAATGGTCGTATTTGTTATCATTGGTAGCATTCTATTGCAAATTAACTGAAGTTAGCATTCACAAGTCGCTGGATTTCAAACATTATTTCTAAATAGTGTTGGTGAGCTTGCCTCGTAACCTAAAGGATTCGATCTATGTTAAGGGTGGTTAGTGAAAGGTATTGGAGATACCTAAACTAGTCCGAAACAACTGCAGAATAGTTTCTTCATCAAAAATCTAAAAGTGGTTGAGGTCTCAAAGTTCAAGTGAAAAGACAAGGTGAATAGTGTTCATCAATTTGGGTGTGAAGTCTTTGAAACTGAGAATTAGTTGCACTCTGTTGTGATGAGTTGGTAGAAGGCGGTTTCATGTCTATGACGTTTTTAAATTAGTTTTCTTTTGCACTAGTTCCTCTCATATTGATAGTGATAATGAAATTATAAATATGTTTATAAGTCTTAGTAGTATGTGCAAGGTTGTAGAAAATTCGAGTCTATAATCTACAATCAAACAACCACCACATACTGTGTACACCTTGTCTCCAGTTAGTACCAAAATATCTGTTTAGTGAAGGAGATGTGGCTCGTTGTTTCTAACACTCAAAATTCAGTCAATGAATCCCAGTTTCGAATACACCTCCGCCGCCTAATTCAACCTCGGCAACTCTGGGTAGTACTATCCCCCTTCTCACACAGTAAGTGTGGCCCGTCATGTTGTTCCAGAGAACTGAGTTCCCAGCGGCTGAAAAGCCTAAGAGTTCGTCTTGTAACTGGAAGGTCCTTAATTCGCAACCGGGAGGGTGCATGCCGATGAAGAGTTATAGGCTAGGACGAAACACCTGTCCAGTAAGTACTCCCTGCAGGTTTTCCAATGGTTCGCTCGTGATCAAACCTGTTGCCAGTAAAAATAAATTTTAGCCCACTAGGTTGTTGTCACTTAGTCGAGGTTAAAATTCATACTTCATTGTATTCAGAGTGCCAATCTGTTGGAGCTCAGTTAAAGCATTGCACCTTCTTTTCGAATTCAGTTTAGAAATCATATTTTGATATTCTTTTTCATGGACATACAAAAATTAATTGTTGTCTTTCATTATTATATCATTTTTTTCTTTTTATTATTTTCAGTTTTTCAAGTATTCTACACAACTTTATTCGGTATGTACTCTGGTTTCCTAATGCTGAGAACTGGTAAGTGTTGTCTTTTTGTATCAAAGTGATCAATATTTCATAAGTATTTATAGTCGATAACAATGACGAAAGTATTTGTTGGCACTAACTCTTTCGCTGTCATTGTTGTTCATATGAGTTCCTATTGGAACATGGGGCACACCACTTCACCCTGTCGTCTGTAGTCTTTCTTACCTGGCTCCACGACTGCCCGTAAGCTTGCATCTCCTCGTCCTCCTCAAATGACCTCCTCCATGTCATCCTGGTAGCCAGGCCCAACTCGCCGTCTTCCAGTTGGGTTTCACTCCTGGGCCTGGCAGTGATTGTTATGACCACATTATCAAATAAATGTTATAGTCACTTTTATACGACATAATTTTGATTTGATTTTTGATTTTAATTTTGATTACAGCTTGATACCACACCGTATTTTCAGTACAAGTATGGAATTTTCAGCATGGATATCGGTAGCCCAGATTCAGGCCGACCATAGATATCGGGTGTGCGCCGGCAGGGGATCGAACCCCGGACCACGTGCATGGTCGGCGAGAGTCCTAACCACTGTGCCACCGACGCACATCTAGACATGAAAGTAAAACCGAGTAGTTCAGGGAAGAGAGTCTTTCCAGCAGTACGGTAATATTTGTTGGCAGAATTGCATATTGTCAGCAAGATGTGATGTACAGTTATGGTAAAATACTGAAACCTTTTACAGTGAGATCTTCATTTGCACATGTTATTCCTATTATTGTTATTATTGTGCTTCTTTTCTATCATCCTTTCATGCTTTCTATATTGTGTTTCACGCGAACATCTTTTCATACCTTCTCTTCACTACTTGTAATCCGTCATTCTGCCATTCAGTATTCTTGAGGGAGAGGACATCACACACAATATACTACTCTCAAAATCTTGTCAGTAGCACACTCTACATACACTTCCCTATCAAAAAGTCTCGAACAGAGCCGTTGCAACCATCTTGATGCTACCCCTGATATCGCGTTTTGGTGCCAACGTCCTTATCCCAATCTATCCATCTCTGACGTTGGCTGGTGTAAATATGTTTTTGTTTGTCGCTTCCCATAATGTTATCGACAGGATCATGTCTCTTGTTGATACAGTATGGTTCTCCGAACTTTGGAAACAGTTTTCGTGAAGTTGTCCCATTCCTGAGAGTGTAATGTAGTTTCTTTCTCTATGCTTGACCCGATCTCTGTATTAAAAAGTTAACCATGTTTTCTTTTCTCTCTCCTCGATTTTCGTAGCTTCAATCTTATGTTTTGTTTCCCATCTCCTTTATGCTCCATTCTGTCTGTCTGGATTCAACATAGAACTTGGCACTGAAGTGCAGCAGTTCGAGTTGCCACGTTCCAAATAGCACACAAAGGTAGACAAGAAAATGAGTGAAGAGAATCAAGAGAATTTAGATAAGTATAAGGGTGAAACAGAATGAGTAATGGTAGAAAGGAATATGAAGGTTAAAGAGACTGAATACATCTGCGCCATTGACAACGATTTTGAGCCATGTCACCTATTGTCTCCAGCCATTGATTCTTAGAGTCCCGAGGGCCCCAACCCGGAAGTCTGCATCTCCCTACCTGACTCACTTTAACTGTCAAGGATTTCATGGATTGATGCCATGTTTTTCTTTGGCCACCACCTACTCTTTTCCAACCTGCACCTATATCAGCTAGTAATGCCCATCGGGGTGGGGGAGGTGATGGTTAGGCATGCGCAGCACGTGGCCTAACCATCTCAATCTATGTAACTTCATAGCCTCTTCGAGTGATTTTCCCTCTTTGCCCAACACTCTACGCCTAACCTCAACATTACTTACCGTATTATACCACCTAACGTGGGAAAGAGATCGTAGACATCTATGATCAAAAACAGTCAACCTTTTCATGTCTTCAACTCGTTTTGGCCATGTTTCAGAGCCATAGAGAAGGACGGAGCGAACTGCTGAGCAGTACACACGTCCCTTGGTTGATAGTCGGATGTCACACCTGCGTCAGAGATGGCGTCAGTTAGCGAAAGCAGCTCGAGGTTTTTGGATCCGTGCTGAGATTTCGTCACCACTGTTGCTAATGCAGTCAGGTTTCGTTGTGTATTCTTAGTCATGGTTTCCTACCATACATCAAATGAAATAATGACTTCTTTGCTTTTTCCTGGCTGGAAGCACGATGTGTTAGTAGAGTCAATAGAAACTCTGTTTCCCGGTTAATCACCCGTTAAAACCAGCCACTCCTTCAGTGTGTGATTATTTCTCTCTGTCAAAACACTCGTTTATGGATGGTATGCTGTTGCGCTAATCCTCCTCGCTAGCTATCTCTTGTCCGTTTACTCGCAGTCTTCCACACACACACACACACAGCTCCTCTTTCTAAATCCCACAGCTTCTTTTATCTGCCAGTACCCTTTCCATCCACAAGCGAAACATTTGTCAGTTTGTTTTACTGTTTTTTCTGTAAAAGTCAGTGACACCAAATGTAACTGCGGTACCATACATGGTGGTAGTATTTAGTGACGGAGTATATTTACTTTCCTCAAAATGTGATTTATATAGTTATGGTGAAATACAGAAACCTTTTACATTGAAGTCTTCGTTTTCATGATTTCTGGATAGATTGTTTGCACACAAGAATATTTCTTATTTCTTTTCTTCGTCATTTAATTCATCGCTCAGCTTATTCAATATTCTTGAGGAAGACACGTTAGACAAATTTTACTACTTATGAAATTTAGTCAGTAGTACACCAAAGAAAAATAATTATTTCTCCGTGTGTGTGTGTGCGTGTGTGTTTGAACTCGCTAATTTGCATAACGTTAGTGAGATTTTAATTCAATCTTTGCTATTTCGAAATAGTTTTATGATGTAAACTCGATTTCAAACTGTGATTTAGGTGTTTTGGTATGCTTGACAATCTGAGTTTACAGACACACACACGCACACAAATGAAGAAATAAATTTTGTAGGTGTACAGTTAAGTCAAATTTGCTATTTTTCAATTTTTTACAACACAGTTTTGGTTCGAGGAGGTGAAATATCACCCAAGTATTCTTTGAAAATTTAAATTATTCAGGTCAATAGTGCATGTATTCTGTTAGATAATATAAACGGTAATTAAGAAAGCAACTATAAATGCACCACGCTATATACTACTAACTAACTGTCGCGAGTAGTTGGATTCCACTCATACACCAACCAGTAGTGCAGGTTTGAGTAATTTAGGTGGTGGAATTTCACCTCTATCTGCGTACATTGTGAATTTGATTTTGTGGTATTACCAGTTCTCCCAAGAGGGGCCAGCCAGACTTCAGTTGGTTTGAACTGATTCTGACTGGCCCTGAGCTGAATAAAAGAATCCGGGTGTATGGCTGGTGAGCTCAGCTGCAAACAAGCGAAACAGCATTCCTGTTTTTGGAGCACTTCGGTGGTATCTGGCTAGTAAGCATTACTGGTTGATGTAAGTGCTATCCAACTGACTGACTGGTTTCATTGTAGAACTTTGCACAGATGTGCAGCAGTTCCAGTTGCCGCACTCCCTCCATGTAGCACACAAAGCAAGAGGAGAGGGTAAAGAGAGATTCAAAACAGAGATAATAAACAGGACTATTAGGCAAAAAGAATAGTAATATGGAAGAACAATAGAGTCTCATTCGATATGATAAATCACAAAGAGTGGATACATCTGCGCCAGCCGTTGAGGACGAGGATTTTGAGCCATATCACCAATTGTCTCCAGGCTTCATTGGTTTTTACCATCCCGAGGACCCCAACCAGTCAGGAAGTCTACACCTCCCGACGTGGCTTAAACTAACTGATTTCATTGGCTGATGAGGCCATGTTTTGGTTTGACTACCGCCGGCTCTTTTCCAACCTGATCCTATGTCAGCTAACATTGCCTGCTGTCGAGGAAGGCGATGGCTAGGCATGCATGTGTAACAAATGGCCTAACCATCTCATTCGGTGTATCTTCACAATCTCGTTGATTTGTTTCCTCTCCTTACCTGACACTCGAAGCCTAATCTCAATATTGCTCACCCTATTATACCACTTCACACGGGAGATAGAACGCAGGCACCTATGGTCAAACACAACTAGCCAGGAGTTTCATGTCTTCCACTTTCAATGGCCATTTCCCACTAACAGCCATAAAGGAGGATGGAGCGAACTGCTGCTGATCAGTATACACGTCCTGTGATCGATAGCCAAATGCCAAACGAGCCTTCTGTATTCGTGCTGAGATTTCTTCAGTGATCACCCCGTTGGGGTTGATGCAACTCCCCAAATATGGGTAGTCGGTATCCAACTATCTATATCAGTCAATCGATCAGTAGTGGGATAACACTATGCATTAATGACTGTATGGTTAGCTACATGTGAAGTCGCTAAAAATAGTCTCTTATTTCCATAATTTTATCTATTTTGTCGAATGTTTGTATGACTCATGATAATGTAATTTCATATGTGTAGGTGTATAAATTCTTGATATGACTATATTCTTCGTAAAAAACAAAAACAAATATGTTTATTCTGTGTGGGTTATAAACATTCTCCGATTTCATACTGTCTCATGCACAGTTGTTTCATACCATATATGCGTATTCATGTTGGTGGTTTTTTTGGTTCTCCTTGATATTGTTGTTCATTCCGACCTCTGTTATCTTGAAGCAGAAGTTTCGGAGAATTTTTTAAGATCTAAACCTTTTTAGTATATTTATTAGTGAGAGACAAGTTTTAAAGGTTAATTTTAGATAGTTGTAGGTGGCTCATTATATATATCTATTTGATATGTTATGGCTATTAGGATAGGTAGGTTGGCGGCGATTGGTAGGAAACCCTAAACTTAGGTTTCATGAACTTGTGAGCATGGCTTATCTGCAACTTTGACGTAAGTAATGTCCCCAATGAGGTTCTGTTATGATCTATGTTGCTAGTTGAAATGAACTCATCACTTATTGATATGATCGTGTCGACAGTTGGTCTGACCAATTGCAATAATGCGTGGGTATAATAA